CTGGCTCTCAGGCATGCAGGAATCCTGAATTGTCTGAAGCAAAGAGAGGCACCCTCCCTCTCTAGTTTGGGAGCTCTGTGCTTTAGGAGGGTCTGGACCTCCTGTGATTTCAGCATGTCCATGAAAGCTCTGGTGTTTTGCACATCTGTAAATACAGAGGCTTTGAAGGAGGACAGAACTGCATGTGTTGGGAGGTACCTCATTTGCTCTCTCCATTTGACTTGACAGTAAATCAAGAGGTTCTTAGTGCCTGATATTAAATATTAAATCTTCCAAAGTGTATCAGGGCTCTCCTCAGGGGGTGTAAGAAAGTAGTTGTAAATCTTTTGAAGTGTTTCAAGTGCTTGATTGTAAAGCCCAATGGTGTATCAAATGACCTTGAGTGAGGCCTCAGTCAAGACCCAGCAAAGCTCTAATAAATGGACCATGACATGATCTGGAGGCTGGGATTACATGGAGAAGAGAGTGTCTGTCTTGTGTTTTTGTCTTGTCCTATTTGTTATTTGTTGTTGTTTGTCCCCTTTTGATTATGCTAATCTCCATTTCAGTTTGCTTGCAATGTTTTGTTGTTTTTTGTTTTTGTTTTCAACCGTTTGCCCTAGCAAGACTAACAGCCACTGTCACACTCATGCCTGGTTAAACTCTTGTCTCTCACCTTCCTTTTATTTCTGCCTATTGTTTTAATTGTTAGCCTTGTCACGGGAAACCTAATAAAATCTGGCTGATACCTACCTGGAGAAAAAGAAAATGGTTTAAAAGGTTTTTAACTGTGCTAACTAAAGCTTGCATTGAAATGTAAATGGCTGCCAACAGGTGTTAAAAGTAAAAGCTGAAGTTAATAAAAGCATTCTAGAGATTGTCTTCCTTTAGGAACTGGGCAAGTGGTTAGCAGAGTAGACAATGTCATTTCCTGCAGAGGGCAGATTAAAACTAGAGAGTTTTATAGGATTAGCATTTCTAAGATATGTAAATGTATCATTTTGTCTAGGACATTTGGCTTTTATCTCTCATTCTGCCCTAGATATTCACGAAAATTGCAGGTATGCATGAATAACTTCCAACTATTGGAGGTGACCCAAAGTTTTTACCATGACAGTCCAGCTGATAAATGTTTATCATAATGCCAGGCTAACATTTTGGTGGCCACTATCCAAGAGACTAGAAAAACTGTGGGGTCTCTCTCAAGGAGACTAGTGGAAGCAGGCTCCCTTGCTGCCTCTTTGGGAGTTTCCTTCAGGGAGGAATGAGTCCCCAGCTTTTGACTATACCCCCTTAATTCTTTTCACCTCTGATGAGTGGGGTCTGCATCAGGATAGAGACCAGAAAAGCCTTTAAAATTTTGTATTTTTTGAGTTCATAATTCAGATCAGGCATGCCTAGGTTAATGTTTTTCTGATTAGACCTATTTTATCCAACTCTAAAGGTGTTTTTACACTCTGCTTTGTTCAGAGGCCAATTTATAAGGGATAGCTCTTGTAAGATCAGGCGAGGCAAGCAGCAACCAAAGGAGGCAGATTTTAAAAGGCTGCCCAAAGAGGCTTGAGATATCACTCCTGGGCAGAACTCAGATTGACAGAGTGGCCAGGAAAAGGGTCTGAGGAGAAACTGCATGGAAGCTCAACCGGACTGGACTTTTATGGGGGTCACGGCAGGAAGGGAAGGGCTTGGGACAGGAAAAGGTTGTTTATAGAGTTCCTTGTCCCATTGGAGTTGGTCAGGGGAGTTGGCTGAACTCCAGGATTGGCCAGGGGGTCCTGCTGATTGACAGGTGTTAACCAGGAGATCTTGCTGATTGACAGGCATTTCCAAGGGCGCCTGATTGATGTTTCTTTCCTACGTGGGCTGCTTTGTTCCAAGTCACCGCCATATTAAAGCATAAGTGGCTGTTGCTATGATTCAAAACCATAAACAAATCTCATGACTAAAATCATAAGCAGAAAAGAGAGTAGGCCAAAACGTCCCTAGTTGTGTACAAGTTAAAGAATGGTTACTAAAAAACATCTAGTACCCAAAATGAAAAGACTAAATAATATTCTCATTCTCATATTCATCCCCCCACATGTATTCTTTATTCATCCTTCAACAGATCATCCAGTACTTAACTTGTTTCCATACACTGGCTATTGTGAATAAGGCTGCAGAAATATAGGGTTCCTAGATCAATCATATGACAGTTCTGCTTTAAGAATCTGAGGAAATTCCATACTATTTTCCATAATGCCTTAGTAACTTATCTATGAGGGGAATGTTCCAGGGCATATTAATTTGCTTAAAGCCTTTATTTTTTCTTTTTGTTGTTGTTAATAGAATACAAAAAATATTTAACATCTAGGCTGCATATTCTGAATAGGGAAGTTCCTTTGATTTATCTTCATGGATAGTCTAGTCTACTGCAAATCCTACTTTAAGACAACAAGCATGTATTTACCAGTTTTGGATTTGTTTAAGTAAATGTTTAACATGTTTTAATATTTTTATTGTGAAATACAGTAAGAAATTTATTCATATATATCTATGTAACTCACTCTTCTAAAGTTGCAAATGTAACTCTGATACTTAACCATTAGCTCCACAGATGTTTTCTTTTCTCTTTACCATATATTAATGTCTAAAGTCTATTTCTATTCATACATATATCTATCTGCATGCAAACAAATAAAATTAGGTTTGAAATGGAAGTCAGATTTCAGACACACTATGTCTAAGAAGTCCATGTGAGGCTTTAGGAACAAAAGCACAGAGCCGATGATGTGGCAAGGTGGTGCAGTGCTTAGCTATTATGTTTTTGGCCCTGGGTTCCATCCTCAGCACGACCAAAACAAAAGCAAAAAAACAGATATAGTGTTGCTAAATGCTTAGGGTTTACTAATATTCCTCCTATTCAAGACAGTTTTGAATCTTAATTTTTAACCTCTGCTTACATTTTGACCCATTTCCCAGGTTTCATCTTGAGAGACCAAATTTTTGGTGATGAGTTGGAGAGAGAATTGAGCCCTCACTTGTATAGGGTTGACAAATTTATCACAAAAGCACTGGAACCTGCAGCCAGATGCTGCAAGGCATTTGAGAGTAAGAGGACTCGTATATCCTTGTTCTGGGATCAACTGAGGCATCTGGGGACACTCTGCCTCAGGCAAGGAAACTGAGTGTATGAACAAGCATAAATCAATGAAGAAAAGGAAGAGGGTTTGTGATTCTTTCTCTCAAAATACTCAAGTTGGAATAACCCTCCATCAGCTCTCTGCCATCACAAATCCCAGACCTGGCCAAGCCCTCATGATGAACCTGAGCTCAGGAAGCTCATTCCCTGCTGAGGCAAGGAGGAGGCCAAGGGGAATGCTGGGTCCTTCTCAACTGCCCATTAGTATTCAAGGTTACCTTTTTCTGGAAGCCCCTGTTCTGGCCTTACCTGCCACTTGTGTTCTATGAGACTTCTAACAACTCATGAGATTTCCACTTCTAACTTACCCCAGGAGCTGGATGGCTTCAGTCCACTCCCAGACTGGCATTTTTGGTGCATTATCAAGAAGCTACAAGTCTTGAATATCCGAGGACTGAAGGTGTCTCACTGTTGCAGCTCTGAAAAAGAACGGGAGGAAACTGGCATTGGACTCCTCTACTTTCAGTGTCAGGTACAGCTGCTTCTTACTGATCCACTGGACTTGGGAACACTGATGTCTTTCTGACCAAAAAGAAAAAAAAAAGGAAAAACAGATTTAGTGTTGCTAAATGTTTAGGGTTTACCTATTCAAGACAGTATTGAACCTTAATTTTTACACTATGCTTACATTATGACCCATTTCCCAGGCTTCCTCTCAGGAGACTCATGGTTATAATTTTTGATCATTTAACCTTCTCCTGTTTGAAAGTATTCATGATCCTTATAATTGAAACACATGTATTCTTATGATGAAATAGATGTAATTTAAAAGGCGGTAAGTTAAATTCATTACAAACCACATCATAATTGATCCTTCCTTAGTCCCTGTCAGAAAAATGTTCTGCAGCAGAATCCCTCAAGTAGTATACCAGGTAAAAAAAGAAAATTATACACTGGAAGTGAGATACTGAGAAGTAAATGTCACTAGTCCCCTAGCAGGGACAAACCCAGCAGTGCACACTGCATGCTCTTGTATTCACCAGCTAACTGTTAGAGCTTGAAGTCTTATGATAACTCATAGGACATCTACACTTTGACACCAAAATGTGTTTATTAGAATTTTGTTATTTCACATTCCCAGCTTACTTTCCATGAGGCAAAGTTAATTTAGATCTCATGGTGTATTTAAACGTTTCAATACCTTATAGTTTAGATTTTAAGTGTCCCCCAAAAGCTCATGTATAAGATAACACAAGAAAGTTTTCAGGTGAAATGATTTGGTTAGGACAGCCTTAAACCAATCAGTGCATTAATCCCATCATAGTGATTAACAGAGTGGAGACTGTAGGCAAGTAGTCTGTGCCTGGGAGTGGAATACCTTTGGTATACATTTTGTGAGCTGAGCTTATTCTTTTTTTTTAATTTTTTATTGTTGGTTGTTCAAAACATTACATAGTTCTTGATATATCATATTTCACACTTTGATTCAAGTGGGTTATGAACTCCCATTTTTACCCCATATACAGATTGCGGAATCACATCAGTTACACATCCATTGATTTACATATTGCCATACTAGTGTCTGTTGTGTTCTGCTGCCTTTCCTATCCTCTACTATCCCCCCTCCCCTCCCCTCCCCTCCCCTCTTCTCTCTCTACCCCCTCTACTGTCATTCATTTCTCCCCCTTGTATTATTTTTCCCTTTCCCCTCACTTCCTCTTGTATGTACTTTTGTATAACCCTGAGGGTCTCCTTCCATTTCCATGCAATTTCCCTTCTCTCTCCCTTTCCCTCCCACCTCTCATCCCTGTTTAATGTTAATCTTCTTCTCCAAGCTGAGCTTATTCTATGCTTCCTGATCATGTCCTGAGACACTTTTCTTAATAGAACTCTTCCAACTTGATGTTATGCCTCACCTTAACTCCCAGAGAAATGGAGTGAGCCATCTATGGACTGAGACCTCTGAAACTGTGACACATACCCCCAAAGAAAAAAAAATTCTTCCTCTAATTTTTCATGTCATGTCTTTTGCTCATAGCAAGGAAAAATGTAAAATGCACCAGTTCCCTCTTACCAAAGATTTCACTTTTCCGGCTGGGGATGTGGCTCAAGTGGTAGCGCGCTCGCCTGGCATGCGTGCGGCCCGGGTTCGAACCTCAGCACCACATACAAACAAAGATGTTGTGTCCACCGATAACTAAAAAAAAAATAAATATTAAAAAAAAGCATGCTGGCTGGACTGGCATCTAAAAAATTTTCATTTTTCCATGAGTGAATAATATATTAAAATATTATCTACTGTCATGTATATCTAAGAATAAAAAAAAGTGATTTCACTTTCTATCCTGTCACTTACCCATGAATTACCTATGTAATTCAAGATTGTAAAAATAAACAATGTATGCATTTTAAATTGCTCATCATTCTGAATGAATGATGAAATCATGCAATATCACTCTCTGTCCTGACCATGAAGTGAATCATACCTTTATTCTTCCTCTATAGGCTACTCACCCACCAATACCTTGACAAGATAAACTAGGGGGAATTACACTGCTTATAGATAGGGGTCACTACTATCTGTAGTAGTGACCCCTATAGGCATCCACTGGGGATCTTGGAACAGATCCTCCAGGATAAGGGAGTCTTCTGAGTTCCTAAAATTACCAATGATATCTTCATATTTTAATTAGTATTTGAAGTCTTTCTCTTGGAACCAAAACAAAATTGGAACATGACGTTCTTTGAGGAAAATTTCTTTTTCATAGGTTTCTCTGATACCTCTCAGCTGTGGAGACCCGGGGTTATTTAATTTCTACTTTTCCACATAAACCACTTCCTCTTCTGATACCCTGAAACTGTCTGCCTTTTGCCCCATTCCCAACTCTGTGGAGAAGGGCATTCACTCACATCTCTCCCTCTTCCTGATAAGCTGCAAACCACACTGGAATATCTCCTTCAGTTCACTCTCCATGACCCCAGAAGATGGCTCCAGCATCAGTTCTTGATTTTCTTCACGTGTGTTCATCAGAGGACAGCAGAAAGAGTGTATGTTCATTCTCTGACTTCTGCTCAATGAGATTCCACTGGCATGTTTTAGTGTCTGGAGGTGCAAGGAACTTACTTTATTGAGCCATAGATATACAGGATGGAGACTGCTTAGGGATTAGAGAGGCTGGGATTTCCCCATCTATGTGGCACTAGGAGACACAGTCATTGTAATCAAAACATTTCCCCCCAAAATTAATAACAGGAATATATAAACCAGTCTAAAAAATCATTTCTAGAAAAAAGAAAAAAAAATAAGACACCACATAGAGCAGTTTGATTTACCCAGGCATCCCAGGGTCAGAACAGTTACAGTGTATTTCCCAGGAATCTTTGCACAAGAGACTGATCTTTATAAAACTTTTCATCATACCCCAACCCTCAACAAATTTTTAGCCCTTGTCTCTAAGCTCCTGCCCAAAATTAATCCTTTTACTTTTAGGTGAGGTCACGAGATTCTTTCACAAATTCTGGAATTTCCACAAAGGGCAATTAAAGGCCAACCATCTGTGTGAATGTCACACACCTGTATGCAGACACCGACAAGGCACTTGATACTCAGTATGTAGTAAACTCAGGTTGCTGAAAGATGGACACACACATTGCATAAAAGCGGTGTGGGGCCCCAGAAGCAGCAATGAGCATGGCAACTAGGGGAGGTGATCCCACCTGGACCATGTGCAGGTCCTAAGACAGCCCCAGCCAGAGCAAAACAAGAAGTTGAACAAGAACAGGAGCAGCCACCCCAACCCAGCAGCAGCCACCCAAAACCTGTTTCAAAAAGTTGCTCAGGGACTCCCTAAGTTGGGGAAACTGACCTCCAACTTCCAATCCTCCTTCTCAACCTCTCAGTCACTGGAATACAGGCATCACCATCCACCCAACAGGTGTATGTTTATATGTAAAAAGCAAAGCTTCTTAGAAAATATTTTTGCAACATTGAAGTTGAAAATGCAGTTGCTCAACCTCTGAATGTTAACACACAAATGTGCACATTACTGAGATGTCATCTGTCCCCATTCAGTAAGCAGGTTTTAAAGCTGGATGCTGAACAGCTCTGGTGAGAATACAAGAGACAGAGGCCTGGGCAGATCCCTGGGAGATGTGGCCATAAATACTCTGCTCTCAGAATCCTTTGGCAGCACCCATCCAGGTTCTCAGCATGTCCCTTCCTTTATCTATCATGTCTAAAGCTAGGTACATATCCTGCCAGCACTTGAAATGGCAAAAACTGGAGCCGTCAGTAACATCCATGTACAAAGAATGGGTGGCAAAATCTGCTCCCCATGCACAAGGGGACACTGTGGCTGCTGTGGAGGGTCTGTGACCACAGGGACAGAAATCAAGGAAGCTTATATGAAAAAACATATTGATGTGTCAAGTTGTCTCTGTAGAGGACTTCATTTGACAGAAGACACATAATGATGTAAACATGAACATACAAATAAATCTAATTAATGTATGTTAGAGTGCTTTGGCCTTATTGCACAGGTTTTGGTGCAGGACTAATGGTACCAGATGAGAGGCTGAGTGCTAAGGCCTGGCCTCCAACAGTGATTGCTCAATGTGTGGGGTCCATCCCAGGAGCAGCAGGTAGGGTGACGTTGGGTCCACAGAAAGGAATCATACTGGGAATTCTGATTACATTCTCTTTCCTGTCCAAGAAGCATCATTCTAAACACAATTTGGATGAGCTTCAAATAGCCTGGTATGTATGTAATATTACTTATGAATTAATTGGAGGCAAAAAGTCACACGTGCAGCCCAACCAATACATCAGTCGAGATGTGAGAGTGATTGGAAGCTGCACAGATTGTCTTCAAATTTTCCTCTTGGTCAGTTCAAAGTATGAGACTATAAAGTACGAAAACCTGGGGCTGGGGATGTGGCTCAAGCAGTAGCGCGCTCGCCTGGCATGCGTGTGGCCCGGGTTCCATCCTCAGCACCACATACAAAACAAAGATGTGTCCACCGAAAAGTAAAATAAATAAATAAATATTAAAATTCTCTCTCTTTCTCTCTCCTCTCTCTCTCTTTAAAAAAAAAAAAAACCTGCTCCTAGTGACATTGCCAAGAAGAAAGGACTTTCACAATATTAAAATCTAGGAAAGTAAACTTTAACAACCAGATTAATTTACCAAATAATGATATGGACAAATAAAATATGATGGTTATTTAATGATTTTGTTTACACTGAAAAAATATTTATATATTTATTTATTCATTTATTTTTGAGATGGGATTCTCTGTATTTCTCAGGCTGACCTCAAGCTCATGATCCCCCTGTCTCAGTATACCTAAATCCTGGGATTACAGGTGTGACCCAGCATATCTGGCTTTAACAATTAATTTTAAAATAAGATGGTCACTCTGCCATGACACCATCCTGAGTCATTCCACCAGTGCTCAGAGCAACCATGCTGAACCACAGTGACACCCCATCATTAGGGAAAGTTCAAGTATGTAGAGAACATTCCCCTAGCAGTTGGGAAAAGTCCACTTAATTCTTTTGAATACAACAAGCCTTTGGCTATGTTTCTTTCTCTTGTCAAACACTGCAGGGAAGAGGTTGGGAACTGTGCCAAGAGGCTTTCAACTCTACTTCCCTGTAAACATGATTGCATTATCAGTATATTAAGACATCACAAACATAGCCAGGGCTATGGTACCTTTCAGTATGGCAGGGGTGGCCTGATAATAAGAGTCAGAAGACATAGGCACATTATAGGCTCCCACTTGGTCATTACTGATCAGTCCAGTTCATTATCACATCAAATGTATAAAATGTCTCCCAGGATAAGACCACCAGATTTGCAGGCTTCTGCTGGATTTTGGGTTTTAAAATAGAAGTTGTCCAGCCATGTGTGGCCTCACCATTTGAGGTAACTGGTATGCTCAATTAAGAGACAATAGCATTATCTTGCTTTGAGATTTATTCAAAGTGTTAACATAATATTGGATCTCTCAGATGGTATAACCTATGCATTCATCCCTTTACTCTCAGCTATTAGATATTCTCCACTATATTGAAACAAAAAATTTTTCATTTTGTGAGAAATGTAAAGGGAAAAAATACTTTGCTGGTTTCTATTCCTGGCACCAGAATTCTAGTTCAGCCAGTGCCTCCCTTCCCATTTATTCAGTGTGGGAATACCTGGGTACAAAGCAAGTGGGCTAGCTCAGCCACTTCGTAACCACCATATTTACTATGAACACTAATATATTTCCAGATGTTTTGAAAGCAAAGCCCACCATATCAGAACCTATGAAATTGTAACATCAAGGTTTAAAAATCAAAAGAATACAAGTACAATGAGACCACTTTATCTCCACATGAAAAGAATGGCTTATTTTACCAGAATCCTCTCATGCAAAATAATCTATAGGCATATGAACTTATTCCCCAAACCCTCCTCACTGAATCTCCCATATAAATCTCCCAAACCATTGTTTGGCCCCCTCATGTTGAATGAGACCATGTGGGGACAAGTGCATGGAGTACTGCATACATGGCATACATTAAGGGTGTCTGAGTGGCAGGACAGTCCCCTTGTGCTAGGCATGTTAGTGGCAAACCACTTACCCCATAGGCACAGCCCTGGGCATAAGGCTGTGTGTTGCAGTCCCTTAGCTTGCTCCACAGCCCACTCCTCAATTGGTCGCTGCAGTGACAGTTGGCCAGAAATTGTATTGGTGACTTTAGCCTGCGGCCAGCACAGGCTTCATAAATGAAGGTTCAGCAACGTGAGAAATCCTAAGGGAGTTTGAATTAAAGAAACAGACTCTAATTACCTTTAAACCAGCTGCAGGATGGCTTCTCCTAGCTCCAGCCTCCAGCTACCTATTATGGTAGCAAGGTTTACTGAAGAGGCTAGCAAGAGAGAGAACATGCCAGGGAGTGGACTTTTACTGGGGAACAAAACATTCTGGGGAAAATCCCATCCAATGAAGATTAAGGGGGGCAGTGACCCAAGATCAGGTGCGACGATTGGGTCTTCGGGGTAGTGGCCAGGCACACCTCCACAATGACAAGCCCTTGGACCTGAGAAGGATGTTGTCTAAATGCCTCTCACCCAGCCAGGGAGGTAACTCAAATTATGTGCGAGGATGGCCTCCCACAGGTGGCTGCCTGTAATCTTCTTAGCTACTGCCTGAGTGTGTGTGTGTGTGTGTGTGTATTATATATATAGTAACTGAGCAATAAAATCAGACCTGCTTCCTGTTTGGTCTCCAGAGGTCTTGATTAGTGACCCCAAAGTTACACTTTCCTCTGCCCTGTTCTGTGGACCTCCTCACTGGACGAGAGAGAGCCTATGCAGGACCACACACAAATGAAGGTGTGTAAGCTAGCACTTCATGTTTCTACCTCCCATCATTTCCATGTCTTCTTACAGTTCTCTACCAAATATAACTTAAAATTTTTCTCCTGAGAAAGGCACAGGACATTAGCATGAGTTCACAAAGAAAGACCAGAACTCATGATGGGGGTAATAGGAATCATGGAGCAACGTTAATCCAGCAAAAGCTTCTCATGAAATCACAGGGAGTGATTTATTCAGACCCTGACACACCTTATTAAATTGACTCCCTCATTTAACTGCCTTCATTGTCTTCCTATCCATAAGTTAGAACTTTAGGTCAGTAGCCACATTCCCATGCAGAACAGAATGTTTCTTTTGTGGATTCCTTTAAACCAGATTGTGCACAAGTATGTTTTTACATACTAGAGCAATTTAGTAAATTTTATGCAAAGAAGTCTTTCTTTTTTGGTCAAGACCACTTTATTGTGTTGTTTTCCCCCTCTGATTATGACCATGTATAGGTGATTTTCTCAGGCTGAGGTAGAAGACAGACTCTCCCAAAGAACATGAAGAATGCAGGTGAGCTTTATTATGTGTCAACTACTACTTCAACCACTGACATGCACCTTATCAATGGTCCAGAAGGGACCTGAAAGCATGTTTAATAGCAACAAACTGTGGTATTTCTACACCATCCAATACCACACAGCAATAAAAAAGAATGCACTGTTGACACATGTGTCTACTGGGATGATTGAAAGCATATATGTTGAGTGAAAAGATGAATCAATATCAAATGGCAAATGTTGTATAAACAGAATTGAGTGGCTTTTGCTCCTAAATTCAGAAAGGAAGTCTAAATCCTTGGTATTTCCCAAATAATAAAACTGTCCATTATTTGTATCATAACTTTTTCTGCTAACAGGTTGAATCTGATGCAAGAGAGGGAAAGTTATTCACCGTAAACACCACTCCTGTGAGTAGAAGGTTAGGGCTTTGAGTCAGCCCAACCTCAGGGCACTGAAGGGAGATGCAGGCTGAATTCAACCCCACATCCATTGATTTAATCAATCACATCTACATAATGAAACCCCAATAAAAGTTCTGGACACTGAATCTCAGTGGACATTCCTGCTTGGTGAATACAGTGATGGGCCAATAGAAAGGTGTGCTGGATCCCACAGGGAGAAGGTCCTTGCTCAGACCCTCCTAGACCTCACATGGTGTATCTCATTGTTTGGCTTGTCCTGGTTTGTACCCTTTGTAGCAGCACTTTAATCACCAGCATCCATGAGTTCTATGAGAAGGTCACGGAACCCCCAAATTAATAGCAGCTGGTCAGAAATGCAGGGTCTTCTGGTTATCCCTGTAATACAGCCAGCATCTGAAGTAAAAGCAGCCTTGCTGGGGACCCTGTCCTTGGACTTGTGGAGGCTGAGCTCTCACTGTGGTGATTCCTACCAGAGTCACAAAGCAGTCCACCAGTTGGTGCTTATATCCTCTCGCACTCTTTACTTCATCTAATTCTCAGAGACACATATTGAAACCCCTCCCTGTTGATGTGTTTTTATTGAGCCATTTCTAGCAGCTTTGGCTTTGGGAATTTAGCCATCACCTGGATTACTCCAGGCAGGCTCCTCACTGCTTTATTTCTGCTGCAACTTTGCTTTCCGTCACTGCATCACACCACATGTTGGGACTGTAGAGTCCACCTGTCTGATGGTAATATTGCCCATCCTGCCATGCTTCAATTTGTAACTGTCTGCAAACTTAATTACTGCCAGCCCTCCTTCACCATGCCAGTTCACATGCATTTTTGTAAAAGAAACTGTGGCTAGCATTGGTTTTTACATAGCACCCTGACATTCTCTGTGCAAAGGAAGATACTTTTTTCCATTTCACTTTAGTTTAACTGTGTACTTTACCTTGGTCATTTCCTCACAAGCTACTTTTTGTTCTTTTCTTTGCTAATTTGTACAGACCTGTCCATTGTCTATTGCACTGTGAAGCACTTCCCCTTTTCTGCTTTTACAATGAGCCTGAAGAAAAAACCTGAATAACTCTCTGATTTTTACATGCAGTATCTGTTTTTATCCCCAATTCTATTCCTCACATAGCTAAAAAATATGACTCCCACTAGCCTTGCTATAATAACAACTTAACTATGCAGGTCATAAGCTCATGTTTGCCTAAGTTACTTTTCAAAAACTGGCAGGTTTTTGTTTAGCTCAAAGCAGGTTTTTGTTTAGCTGAAACCCCTGCCTTTTTCACTGGGGCCTGCACAAGAGACTATAGGTGAGCATTTGATGACAAAAGGCCCAAAACTCCACTCAGATCATGCTATTGTGGCCATTTTATGAACACCTGTTCCATCAAGTGATATGTAGATTCACTATGTACCCAGACAACAGAATCCCTCACCTCAATACCCTTTCACTGGCTTTCTTGTCACATAAAAACCCTAAGTCTCAGGGAGGCAGATTTGAGTTGGGGGTCTCTCCCTACCAGCCTTGGCCATCTTATGAATGAACTCTCTTTCTAGCAACTTCCAGATTTAGAGAGGATTACACTATGAGGCAGGCACTAGGTTCGATCCTCAGAACCACATAAATGCAAAATAAAGATATTGTGTTCACCTAAAAAAACTTAAGAATAAATTTTTTAAAGAAAAAAAAGGGAAGGGAAGGGAAGGGAAATGGAAGTAGGAAAGCCAGTGCAACGAATTAGGCATAACTTTCCTCTCCTTATATATGAACACAAACCAGTGTAGCTCCACATCATGTAAAACCACAGGAAAAGGATCCTAATTAGAATAAGTTACATTTCATGTATGTATAATATCTCAAAATACACTCTCCTGTCGTTTATATCTAAAAAGAATTTTAGAAAGTCTACAGGCAGCCCACTGGGACGGAAAGCAGGGAGTAGGCAGTGCCAGGACTGTCCCAGCAAAGTCAACCTGCTGGGAAGGGTGTGGCAAAGTGCACATCTCCATGAATTAGGCACCAGCCACCTGGCAGCAGGAATGCTCAACTAACCTAACCCAGGCAGGGCTCAACTGAGGTGCTGCCTGGCCCATGCTCCTGGGTGTGGGACAGGGACAGGCAAGCAGGCCAGAATGCACCAGGACATGCTTTGTTGGCACTGCTGATCTGCCTGGGGTGGAGCAGCCCCACCCTGGATCACAATAACCAAGCGCATCCTCATAACTCAAGAAATAAGCACTAAAAAATGGAAACATTTATTTCTCTGCCACAATCACCTAGATGTCAATTAGCACAGAAGCAGAAAAGTCATACACATGTTTTAGCTCAAGCATTTTTTTCATACTTACTTGATGTGCTCCTTCCTCAACATCAGCATCTCATGAATATTCCTCTATGTTTCCTGATGTTTTCTCACTGCTTCTATAATATTAAAAAAATAAAATCATGCATATTTCGTATTGTCATGGTTCTGAAAAATCTATGGATGCCACTGCAGACAGTGCCAAGAATATATGATATGTGGCCCCAAAGGCCCAAGTGTTTAACCCTTTCAGTCTGAGGTACTATCTGGACTTGGTGGAATCACTCCCAGGGAGTCCTAACTGGAAACAGGTCAGTAAGAGCATGCAAAGGAAGGGGATATTATGATTCCTCAGCAGCTTCCTCCTTAGGGCCAAATTAACATAGACTGAAACCTCTAAAATAATGAACCAAAACAACTTTTTTTCTTTGTAAGTTGATCTGTCTCAGGTATTTCTATTAGAAAATAACTAACAAAGCCAATAATGCCAATGGATCAGCAGATGCTGAGGGGTGGGGTGGGGAATACAACAACAAATGGGGTCTTATCACACTCACTTTTCTGAATCTTCTTTTCCCACTCCAGGGTGAGGAGAGACAATTCCTTCAAGGCACCTCCTCAGCTTGACTCCACTCCTTCTCCTGGCTGATATCCACATTAATAATGTACAACATGCACATGACCACAATGTTCCCTGCTCATACAGCAATGTGCTGCCAGTTTTTTGACACAATGCTCCATAAACACACTTGAACTTACTGGTGTTTTTATTTCTATGTATGAGTTTCTGGGGATATTTGCATTTTTCATTTTCCTGGGTGCTGCCACATGGCTTTCCACCAAGGCTGGTCCTGCAAGCCTGTCATGGGTGCAGATGGCTGGGCAGGTGCACAATACCGTCTGGTATGTCTTTAATTATCCTTCCCTTCCATGCCCATGCACGATCTTAATCTGTACTTAGGTTTTCCTTCTCATGCATCATCTCCTATATGTCTGCTACTCCCTTCTTCCTTTGCACAAAAAGTGCAATTTGTGATGAGTTCAAATTTTGCTGTTGAAGATGGTCCCATTGTGGGATTGCTCACTTTTCTGCTAAAATATGAATATAAATACATCTTGATTTCCCAGCTCATTAATTTGTTTTGATCTTTATCAGTTACTTCCTCCCAGTTTCCTTTGGAAATTAAACCATGTAGGTCCTTTTACTTTTGTTGTGCTATTTCAGTATAGAATTCCCATAGTCTAATTTTTCCACTAAATACAGTTTATGTCCCAGGAGTTTGAGAATTAAGGGCTTTTCTTTCCAGAGCTTTCTCAATAGATTTCAAATCTGTCTAGACAGTCCTCTTTAATCCAAGTGTTTTTGAGACGGGTATTTCTTGAATTCTAAATGAAAATTTACTGGTCATGTTATTATTTATACTAATCTTATTAGATTATGATAAAAATATGGCTTTTTCCTCTAATTCTCTGTGTTGGTTAAGATTTTTTTGTGGCCAAATATATAATTAATTTTTGCAGTGGTTCCATGAACATGCAAACCAATGTTATTTTCTGTTTATTCAAGCAACAATCTACTTACTAAATCCAAGGTTTTGTTCTCTTTTAACTTGATCTAATGCTCAAGACACAAACTGAAGCCCCTCCCTGTCGATGTGTTTTTATTGAGCTGCCTGCCATTTCTAATAGTTTTGGCTTTGGGAATTTGGCCATCTTCTGGCTTACTCCTCACTGCTTTATTTCTGCTGCAACTTTGCTTTCCACCACTGCATCACACCACATGTTGGGACTGTAGAGACCATCTGTCTGATTTCCCATCCTGCCTTGCTTTAATTTGTAACTCTCAGCAAACTTAATTACTGCCAGCTCTACTTCACCATGTTGGTTCACATGCATTATTTGTAAATAAAACATGGCTGGCATTCATTTTTACATAGCATGCTGACACTCTCTGTGTGCATAGGGAGCTATTCTTTCCATTTCCCTTTGCTTAACTATGTACTTTGCCTTGGTCATTTCCTCACAAGTTACTATTTGTTTGTTTCCTTGCTAATTTGCACAGACCTTTCCCCTATTGCACCTCCCCATCTCTGCTCTTCCAATGAACCTGAAGAAAAACCTGAATGAGCACTCTGACTTCACATGCTTTTAATTATCTCTTTGTATCCCCAATTCTATACCTCCTACAGATAAAAATACAACACTCCCAGTACCTTTGCTATAGATAACAGTTCAACATGCAGGTCACAAGGCTAATGTTTTCCTAAGTTGCTTTTCAAAAACTGGCAGTTTTTTGTTTAGCTCAAAGCAGCTGAAACCCCTGTCTCTTTCATTTGAGCCTGTATAAGCGTCCCATGGGCAAGCTATTGATGTCAAAAGGCTAAAAACTCCACCCTCAGAGTATGTTACTGTGGCAATTTTCTGAACTCCCCAAAGTGCTATGTAGATTGCCTATGCACACAGACAACTGAATCCTTCTCCTCAAATTACCTTTCGTTGACTTTCTTGTCACATTAATGCCCCTAAACCTTAGGGAGGTGGTTTTGAGTCTGCGGTCTCTCCCTACCAACCTTGGCCATCTTATGAATAAACTCTCTTTTGAGCAACTTGCAGATTCAGGGAAAATCACACTGTGAGGAAGGCATGACAAGACTGGTTTTGTAACACACAAACCACTGCCTGGACCCCCAGAAGACATCTTGGGGTCTAGGGAAGGAAAGAGTCTGCTCTTGAACATGTTTTCACTTTGGCCATTTCTTCAGAACTAAGACTGGTTTCTAGAGCAAGTTACTCTCTAAAAGGTTGTCATTCTTCACCTCTCTTGCAGCTAAGAGTGACCTGCTCAAGTTGATGAGAAGGGAGCAGAAGGAATGTGAGGATGAGGGGATCAGCTTGCATGGAGCCAACACAGCTGTATGGCACTCTCTTTCCCTTTCCCTCAAAAAACCTTCTGAAATTCAGCATCTGGGGCCAGGGACAGACTCAGAGATGGAAATCAGCTCCAGAGAGCCTGGGGCAGAAAGACAGTGACGTGACTGCACAGGTGCCATCCAGGTCAGCATTGAGCACCATCTCCACTTCTTTTACAGCAGAAAGAAGATCTATCCCTCTTTCTGTTTCTTCTGTTCTATGATTCTGGTATTTCTGTAGTGGGTAGGCAAATCTAATTGCAACTGAGGCCCCAGCTTCCACTTAAATCACTGCATGAACTCAGGCCAGACCCTTCCCTCCTCTATGAAATATATATTCCTGTCTTATCAGGAGGCAGGGCCAAGAGTGTCATGTATATTTCTGTGGATCTGGTGCCTTCACCAGGCTCCCATCCAAACCCACTTCTAATAGACACAAAACCTCACATTTGCTTTGGGGATCCAGTCCTGCCCCCCCCACACACACACACACACACATCCATGCAGCTGAAAGAGAGTGATTACACTTTCTGACTTTGAGGAGATGGGACAAAAGGAACTCACAGTTGAGAAAGGATGGAGACCTGGGAATGTGTTGTGTGGCACTCTTTCCATGCCTGTGCCAATGATAACACACATTCTATAAACACAAGGCCAGGCTACACCAAGCAGGGTACACCTGCACCCATCCTGGGCAGACAGTAACATGGAACCCTGAAGCACCACCCTGACCAACCCTACCCAGCCTGGAAAACTATGCAGCACCTGCCAGAAAGGACTATGTGTAAGTTTCTCTCTAACCATTCACTGCACATTTGGGAAACTGAGGCCCAGTGTCAGGCAGGGACTGGCCCAGTGAACAGGACAGAGGCAGACTCCAGAGGAAAAGGCAGGATCATGACTTCCTAGCTCAGGACTCATCCATCTCCCATAGGATTTCCTTTGGAAAAAGAACTTCCATGATCCTGGGGACACTTGCCTGCCTTTGCCATGTAACAATATTTCTTTTCAGCCTCTCAATAGGTGCATACATGTGAAGATCAGAGAGTAGGTCAAAGAAAATGGGGGCCCAGGAGGTGGAGGTAACATGGAAAAGGACAAAGATGCCAGGCATGGTGGTACATGACTATAATACCAGCAACTTGGGAGGCTAAGGAAGATCACAAGTTCAAAGTTAATCTCAGCAACACTGTGACAACCTGTCTCAAAATAAAACAGAAAAACAGGTTGGAGATGTGGCTTGGTGACTATGCACCCCTGGGATCACTCCCTGAGACCAAAAAAAAAAAAAAAAAAAGAAAGAAGAGACTGGAGACCACGCTTCTATGGAACAGGAGCAGCCCATCTCCAAGTACCTTGACTGGGCCCTGAGAATGGAAAGGGGAAAAGACCAGAATTTCATTGTTGGGAGGTCCCTAAGGTGAACAGAGATGTGCTTACTCTCATCCCAAAGAGAACAAGGTGGGTGGCTCTGGGAGGTGAGGATATCCCCACTAAATACATTTCAACTCTCTTAAGATGCAGAGAAAGAAGGCCAGGAAGGAAAATGGCATTTTCAAAGTCACAAGGCAAGTGGCTAGGCCTGTTTTTAGCTCTACTCTATGTGACATCCCACCTGTTTCCATATTTTATCTCTACTTTTGTGCATTACAGAGATGTGACAACCTGGTTTCTAAGTGTTATCTCACATAGGCAGGGGAAGGCTTAGAAACATGAAGACTTGTCCAAGGTCACAAGAGAGGACAGGAAGAGGAGCTGGGTTTAAACCTAGCTGTGTCTCCTCAGAGCTGGGACCCTGGCTACACCCAGGCCTGGCATGTGATGTGGGGGACAGTGTTGGTGTTAGCTGTGTACACATATGGAAATGTCATGGAGTTGGAGGAGGGCCAACAGTAGCCCAGAGGGACAAATGTGGGTATACCTAGAAGAGGGGTCAAGTCAAGGGACCCTAAGACATGGCTATGTTGCTTTCAATCACACTCCCAGTGCCCCTCTAGTGGTACTCCTCCAAGTGGTACTCCTCCAAGTAGCCCAAGACCCACACCTGGTAGCCCTGGGGAGATACATCCAGGAGAAACCATCACTGAGAGTAGTCCTGCAGAGCCCCACCACCTTCCCCCTCAGTATGGGGGAAGAGGCCTAAGGCAGGAGCAGTTATGTGAGCTTGTGAGCCTGATGTCCTGTCATGGTCACCCCCAAAGCAGGGATGTAGGTGAGGAAAGGGAGTGTCCAGGGTATATCCTGGGCCTCCAGGGTCATTTCCTGTCCTCTTAGGGTAGAAGCCTGGTACGAATGGTCTGTATGAGGTCTGGGGAGTAGAAGGTCACAAGGGGCAGAAATACCCTGAATGGAGGCCAGCAGGGTCTGGGGCTCCCTGCCAGCTACCACGTACTGTCTTCCATGTTTTCCACAAGTTATCCTCCACAAGCACTGGAGCTGCAGCATAAACTCTATGTCAAGGGAGGAAGAGCCAGGGCCAAGCACCACTGGGCAAGAGCTGGCCCTCAGGGTAAGTGTGGGACAAAGGAGACTCCACTGGCAGAGCCTAGAGGAGATGAGAAGCAAATAAGAGCACAGACACCACCAGGACCACCTTCCTGGTAGGGCCAGGATATGGAGGGCATAGTCCTACACCATGAGGAATCTGAACACCAACTCCTCACCCATTCCACCCTCTCTGCCAGCCTCAGCCTTGGACTCATGCAAGATCACTTTTCCCATATTTATGGCAATATCAGAACAGTGACACAAACACTATTTCACTTTAATTTTTCAGATGATTTGCATTCTGCCATCCAACTGACCATAACTCCTAGACCCAGATGTCTAGGTGTCAGTGGCCTGACTGTCCTTCCACACACTCTCCAAGTCTTACACATCATCAGGATTAGTAGGGCTGCATTTAGCCAAAACACCAGGAACTTGTACCAATTGGTCCATTTCTCTGGTACTTGTGTCTCAAGGAACACACCCCAGACTGTGAAAGCAGGTGCTGGGGCCCCAGGGCCTCATCACCTTCCAGTAGGACCTGGTTTCCACAGTCATTCAGACTTTCAGAGCTATAGGACCTGGACCTCATTCACTCTTGGAACCATCACAAGGATACCACAGAGAATGAAGTCTTGGCTGTCCTCACACAGGGACCCTCCTGTCTGGGATGAGCCAGTTTTTCCCATCTCCAGAAGGTGATGTGCTGGTGGGACTCAGGGGATAAGCTCCTAAAACACGGAGCTTCCACCTCTGCTCAGCTAACAAACTGGCCTGAAGCTGCTGTGTTTCTAACTATCCCCTCAGCAATTCCACTTTGAACTCTGCCAGCCACTGCTCTACTGGGGCTCTCCTGTCCCTCTGTGGGACAAGCCCCTATTTGCTTTGGATATTGCACTGAACTCCATCCCAGACACTTCTGGTGGGTCAGTTTGGCACTGACTCTATGTTTCCTCAATGTCCCAACCAAAAAGGCACAGGTGGCTCCAGAGGTATATGATACCTGCACAGTATCTCTGTCCTGGGCATACTCCCTGAAGAGCTTAGAGGAGACTCTGGAGCCCGCCTAACCCTATGACTCCCCCTCTTCCATGTCTACCATCTCGAGTTTCTCCACCCAACAGGAAATGGACCTAATACTGGGAAGGTAAAGCCTGTCCAGGGTGACAAGGTCACATACAGCTGAGTCCTGGAACTGAACCTCTCTGAGCTTCAGCCTGCTCCTCTGAACTGTGGGATGCCAATAAAACCAACATCATGGTAGAAAAGACAGGCCTCTCATACTGCTGCCCCCCTCTTCCCTCTTGGGTGTCTCCTCACTCCTTAACTTGCACTTGCCTCACTATCCACTTGGTAATATCCACAGCCAGGTCACTATGATAGGAGCCAACATGGAGGACCAAGGCCACCAGGCCCAACATTGAGAGAAAAACCTGGAGTCCACGGAGGATCAGCAGAAGGTAAGAAAAACTGAGGTGGGGGCATATGAGTGTGTCAGAGTGGGACAGGGATGGACATGCAGAGCATATCATCCAGGAATGGGCGGGGCAGGAGAAACTGTCACTGTGTGCATTCTAGGAACACTGCCAGGGTGGTTTGTGGGTGGAACTGTGTGAAAGGCAGTGGGAAATATATTATCCCTGCAAGGAACAGGGATAGTCTCTTGATATGTACTCCTCTTGCAGCTACAGGGCAACCTCTGGTGCTTGTGGAAACTCCAGCTCAAGTTCCACCACATCCACTACCTGAGAGAGAGCTGGCGCTAAAACACCTGCAATGGCACCTCCAGACCAACAACCCCTGCTGGCCCCTCAGCCAGCACCACTTACTGAGACCAACCCAGAGTCTCCCTTCCTCTCCCCTGCCATTTATTTATTCATTATTTTTATTTTATGTATTTATTTATTTTTGCATAATTAGCTTCTTTCAAAATTGAAATTTTTATGTTTTAAAATATTTCGTTTACTGGCATTGAGTACATTCTCTAAACTGTGCACTGGTCACCACTATGTAGTTCCAGAATATTTTCCTGAATTTGGTATCCATGACCACTGCCTTCCCCACCCTCCTGCTAGTCCCCAGCAACCCCTCAGCTTTCTAGTCCTGTGATATGCCTAGCCTGCATTTTTCAAACCAGTGCAGTCTGATTTCTCCTGGGCCATATAATGTTGGAAAGGACTATTTAAGTTTCTTTAGATGGGTAAATGCCATTCAGGTCTGTTTTTTTAGTTGTTGGTTTTTTGTTTGTTTGGGGGGAGGTTGTTTGTTTTTTGTTACTGGGGTTGAACCAGGGGCACTTTACCATTGAGCTACATCCATGGTCCTTTTCCTTTTTTATTTTGAGACAGGCTCTTGCTCCATTGCTGAGGCTGCCCTAAACTTAAACCCATTTGCTCAAAGCAGTGTTATTTGGAAATACAAAAAAAGAAGAAAAAACCTCTTGTATCAATGCCTAGAGAAAAGAAAAACCCCTTTGTACCAGTTACACCAGGGAACACATCCAGCAGGGAAAAGCAACAATGTCCAGCTCCATGTCTTTAAGAAGGTAAATCTCAACACCAGTGCTGAACAAAACAGTATGCAGAGACATCATTTATGGTAATAACAAGCCAACAAAATAATAAAGCACTTAGAAACTTATGTATCACAATAGACTGTAATGATAAGATAAAGGAAAAAAATAAGAAAACTCCAGCTCAACTTACATTACCACCTCCACCACCTGAGAGAGCACCAGGGTCAGAACCACCTTCAACAGCAACTTCAGGCCTGTACCTCCTAGTGGCCCCACAGCCAGCACCACCCACTGTACACCCCCTTACACCTGTTCCAATCCCAGAGTTGCCCTTTCCCTCTCCACCCTTTTATTTTCTTCTCTTTTTATATATTTTTATTCAAACTAGTTTATTTTAAAATTTAAGATTGTTTTTAAAAATATGCAGCTTAGTAGCTTTAAGTGTATCCCATTACCCTGTATTTGGTACCCACACCCATTCCCTCCCTTCCTCCCTCCTGCTAGTCTCCAGGGAACACTCATCATTCTCTCCCCATGATTTGCCTCTTCTGGGTTTTTCCACATCAGTGCAGTCTGACTTCTGTTTGACCACATATGTTTAGGGACTGTTTATGCTTGAATTTCCTTTGAATGGTAAATCCCATAGAGATCTAAGATTTTTAGGTTTTGTATTATTTATTTTTGTTTTATTTATTTCTTTTTTTTTAATTAGTACTAGGGATTGAACCCAGGGGGAACTTAACACAGTGCCACATCCCCAGTCCTTCTGTTTTCTGAGATAGTCTCACTACGTTCCTGAGGATCTCCTCAAGTTGGGGAAAATGGCCTCCAACTCTGAATCCTTCTTCTTCAGCCTCCTGTGTCACTTGGGTATCCTCCTGTGTCAGTTGGGTATAATTATGTCACCCAACCAGCAGGTCTAAGTTTATATGCAAAAAGAAAAATTATTATGAAAGATTTTCATGACATTGAAGTTGAAAGTATTTTTTTTCTGACTGAAGGGTCAGAAGTCACAAAAAAATGACTGACCCCTTATAGAAAAACAAAAAGAACATAGATACTTAGACAAATCACAACTATCAAAGTGTTCCTAAAAAATCAAGACTGATAAAAGTTTAATATCCCAGGGACACGAAGAACCTCATGTGTCAAATCATTTTTCTAGTGGGACAAAGGACAAATTTCCACAATTCAAAATAGAATTACTGCACATAGTAACTGTTAAAGATGCTCAGTCTCTGAATGTCAACACACCAATGTTGACACACATATTACTGAGATGTTTTTTGTCCCCATTGAGTGGGCAGGTTTTTAAGGTTGGTGCTGAACAGCCCTGGTGAGAATACAAGAGAGAGAGGCCTTGGCAGATTCCCTGGGAGATATGGCCATGGGGACTCCTCTCAGAATCATTTGGAAGCCAGAAGAATCAGGGAGGAAAAAGAAATCACAGGCACCCTAACCAGTAAGGAAGAAGGAAGGGCCGCCTCTGTGGCAGAGGACAAGTCCTCTTCATAGAACATGGTACAACCTTCTTTAATAAATCTGTTAGAACTAATTAACAAGTGCAGTCAAGGTTCAGGAGACACAATCCACCTGAGAAAATCAGATGCATTCCCATATCCTTAACAATCAACTATAAAAAATAATAATATTCCATTTACAATGGCACCAAAAGAAACAAAATACTTAGAAATAGAGTGATGCAAATGTATTCAAAGAAAGCAAATTTACTTGTTTCATAAAAATTATAAAACGCTGATGAGAAAAACTGAAGACATACATGGATAAGAAGATACAGTGTGCTTATGGATTAGAAGAATAAATATTGTTAAAATGTCCAGGCTACTCAAAGCAAGAGATCCAGTGACATTTCTGTCAATCTATCAAGGGCAGTTTTCCTTAATATGGAAAGAAAATCCTTTAATTCACATGGCACCAAAAAAAGACCATGAGTGATCATCTCCTCCTAAGACAAAAAGGTCAAATGAGAGGCATTACAGTGCATAATTATGAGTATATTGTAAGACTCTAATAATCCATTCAGATACCGACATGAAAGCTGACACAAAGAAGAGAACAGAGAATACCACATGAATACGGAACAAGGAGAGAACTCAGATACAAACTCATGCACACAGAATCAATTACTGAAAAGACACCAAAACGCACAATAGGGAAGGGACTCTCTCATCCACGTATGGTGCTGGGAAAAGAGGATATTTACATGCAAAGAAATGAAGCTGGACCTGTATCTTAAGCAGTACATAAAAGTAAACTAAAAAATGGATTAAAGTCACAGAGACAAATCCACATAAATGTGATTCCTGACAAAGGTGCCAAAAGCGTACCTTGGGGAAATGACAGCCTCTTAAGCAAATGCTGTGGGGAAACCTGAACAGCCATATGTAGAAGAGTGAAATGAGATCCTTATCTTTCACTCTGCATAAAAATGAAATCAAAGTGGATCAAAGTCTTAGGAATTAGTCCAGAAACAGCAAAACTGCTACAAGAAAACATAGGGGCACCATTCCAACACACTGGCAGAAGCACTGACTTACTTAATAAGACCCCGAAAACTTAAGAAATAAAAGCAATAACCAATACATGTGACAGCATTAAATAAAAAAGCTTCTGCACAGTAACAAAAAAATTAAAGAGTGTGAAGACAGCTACAGAATGGGAGAAAATGTTTGCCAGATACTTTTCCAACAGGGGATTAATCACCACAATATATAAAGAACTCAAAAAAAAAAAAAAAAAAAAAAACCCTGATAAACCACTCAGCAAATGGGCAAAATATCTAAAGAGACATTTTGCTAGAGAAGAAATTCAAATGGCCACCAGATATACGAAAACATGTTCAACATCCTTAGTAATTAGGGAGATAGAAGTCAAAACTACACTGAGATTTCATACTACCACAATCAGAACAGCAATCATCAAGAATACAAATAATGATAATTGTCGAGGATGTGGGAGAAAAAAAACATGTTTATACATTGTTGAGGGGACTGCAAATTAGTACAATCACTTTGAAAAGCAGTATGGTGATTCCTCTAAATGGAACCACTGTATGGCCCAGCTTTCCCACTTCTTGGTAGTTGCATAAAAATAAAAAATCAGCATAATACAGTCACATGTCCATACCAATGTTTACAACAGCATAATAGCCAAGTTATGGACAAATGAATAAAGAGTAGAAATTTGGCCAAAAAGAAAAATGAAATTATTTGCTGGTAAATAAGTGGAACAGGAGAACATCATGCCAAGTGAAATAAGTCAGACTCAGAAAGTAAAGGTCAAATTCCTCCTCTCATAAATGAAAGTTAGGGTGGTATCTTCCAAAAATAGAAGGGAAAGGAGTAGAAATAGAATATCAAGGGTGAGGGAGGACAAGAGAAAAGAGGAAGAACTAGGGAATAAAGTTGATCAAATTATACTATGTGCATGTGTGAATATATCTCAATGCATTCCAACTTTATATATAACTATATTTCATCAATTTAAAAAATCAATGTGAGACTGGCAAGATGGTGGAAGGAAGGAAACCAATAATTCCCAATCTCCTCAATGCACAGAAAGGAGGCAGTGAAGGAAAACCAGAATTGTGAGATGGGTGAAAACTTAAATGTTCTAAGACTCAGTATAACAAAGTCTAAGACCTGGAGAGATTTGCAGACTGGTTACCACAGTAGAAAATCAGCACACAGTTCCCTGATCCCAAAGCCAGACCAGGGTGGGGTAAGGGGTGAGGGGCAATAGAAAGAGAGAGGGAGTAGAAATTTACTTAAACTCACACACTAAAAACATTTGGAAAGGCAGATAAAAATTTAAGTGTGATGGGAACAGCAGGGCCCTTATAACAGATCAAAGGTTAAAACCAAATTGTGAAAGAAAAGCTGAGCCAGGGGTTTGCAGCCATCTCATGACAGGACATCTTCCTATGTCCAGACAGCTGCAAATGAAACCAGAGGGAAGTCCCCTGGATTGGGACCTCATCGGAATAGAGCCAGAAAGAAATTCTAGAGGAACCACTAGTAGCCCCCAAATCACTGAAACTCCCTCCCCCTCCCCTTCCCCCCAAAGAGGGGGAAGGGGCTGAGTGGACTGCGCTAGGAAGTGCACCTAGCCCACCACTCTGCAACCCAGGCAAAGGCAGGGAGAAAAAAGAAAAAACAGCAACAAGAACAAAAAACCTCTGTGCAGCATCCACTGACCCAGATAGTGACAAAGCAGCAAAGTAACTGTGGCTCTGAGTAGAGGAAAATGGATCCCTGAGGACCACAGCAGCACCAACCATGACATTGAGGGGAAGCACTGTTGAGAAGCCCAGGGACCATCCTCTTGACAGTCCATACCAGAGGGAAGCTTCAGACCCCAGAGCTTATAAACCAGAGCTGGCCATGGGAGGGTCACAGCAAACAGGGAAGTGGCTCCTGTACCCCAGCAATCATGGGGGGATCCATGGCCAAAGGAGGATGCACATATTCTAAATGTCCAAACCCCAATGAAACCCAACCAAGATCCAACAGGAATTTTCTTCACCTGGCATGATTTTCTATAAATAACTCTAATATCAACATTGAACATATAAATAACTTTTTCACTTGAATGATTGTGGTTATGCTAATAGCCAAGCTTCAACACAATTGACTGTATTTTATCTACTGATTTAACTGGAATCAATCTTCCTATCCTTGTTTTCCTTGCTCTACTTTATAGTTGCTCCTTTACCCTTTATATTCATCCTCTTGTATTATCTGCTATTACCTCAAACACAAATACCACCCAATCTATTTCTCCTTCATTCCTTCCTACCTTCTTTTCTTTCATCTTTTCCCCCAATTTTTCCTCTTCCCCACTTTTAGCCCTCATTTAAGATTATAGCAATTTTAGTAAATTGAAGAACTAAATTTGACCTGTTCCAGAACTTCACTACAGCTTAGACCTGGATTTGAGGAGCTGTGGACAATGTCAACATTGTGTTTCCCATAAGGTTGAATAGCAGGAGGCTTGGTTCTGAGTGATTGTAGTAAACAGGGTTCGGTGGCATTTCTCAAAGTGGTGCTGATATTTGGATCAACAAAAATCTCACTTTGACTTAAAGTACCAATATCTGGATATTCACCGAACCCAGGGCTCTTAAAAGAAAGAAGCTCACAAAGTAGTGAGCTATCACAACAGATGGGTAGACATACAAACAATATGAAAAGGCAAGGGAACAAACCATCCCAAAAGCCCATAATGCTTTAACAACTGATCCCATCAACTGATAATGCTT